ATCATTTCCTTTTCTTCTGGATAACAGCATGTGTAGTAACAGCACTTCCTCATCTTGGAATGACTACAGTTTTACAAGAGTCTCCACGGGCCACAACAGATTTCCAAAAGAATTCATAGTATAAGAAATAAATGAGAAGGAAATCTAGCATACTGTTGTGATGTAGGGTATTAGAAAGTGATCTAAATGAAAAAATCCCTCTGAAAAATAATTGAGACATAATAAAAGTCACTATCTAGTGGAATCAAGGTCCCTAGAAAATATCCTACTTTTATTAGTCTGCTGAGACTTTTAAAGTAAGTGTGTGGGCATCCGTGCATGGGAGAGAAGTAAAAGCAAGCTTAGAAGTGCGGAAGAATTAAAACAGGAAGAAGCTTTGTGAATGTATGATATATTGAATGGAGAGTAGACTTAAAATTAGTAAGAGACAAATAACATAATCTACTAAAAAGTTAAAATAGCTCAATCTATAAATTTATGTAGGGTATTCATAAAGTTTGTGTGCAATACAGTAATAGTACACTATTGCACACGAACTTTATGGCCACCTGTATATGTGTATGTGTATATATGTGTGTGTGAAGATATATGTTTGATATTATAACATTAAAGGAATAAGGCAATAGGTAATTTGCTTCATATAAACAAGTTTCTAAATAATTACATTTAAATAAAATCAATCAGAATTACCAACATTTGAAGGAATTTTAAGTATTATAATTTCACAAGCAAAACAAAAAATCAGATAGGTACAGTAAGTGGTTTGCCCCATGTCCCCCAACTTGTCAGAGCACATCCCAGCTCACATCAAAGTGCATAACTGCTCAATAGAGAAGGTAACTCTTTGAATAGCCTATAGTGTGTTTTCTTACATCACTTGAAATATAGCCTCATCTATAACTGAACCTAACTGGTATAGGTGTATGTGTGACATACACAGTCAGGCGTCACTTCACAACAGGTTACATTCTGAGAAATGAGTCTTCAGATGAGTTTGTTATTGTGTGAACATCATTACACAAACCTAGATGGTATAGTATACTACACACCAGGCTACAAATCTATGCAGGATGTTACTGTACTAAATATGGTAGGCAGTGATAACACAATGGGAAGTATTCAGGTATCTAAACATAGGGAAGGTACTGTAAATGTACAGTATCAAGGATAAAAAGTGGTGCACCTGTGTAGGGTGCTTACCATGAATGGGGCTTCTAGGACTAGACGTTGCTCCGGGCGAGTTAGTGAGTGAGAGTAAGTCAATGTAAGGCCTACAGGACATTTCTGTACACTGTACACGTAGGCTAAGTCTACAGAAACAGTTCTCTACAGTAATAAATTAACCCTAGCTTACTGTAACCATGTTTCTTTATAAACTTTCAAGTTTTTAAATTTTTTACTTTTTTGGTAACATAAACACATAGTTGTACAAAAATATCTTCTTTCTTTATATTCTATAAGCTTTGTTTTATTTTAAACATTTACTTAATTTTTACTATTTAGACTTTATTTAACTTTTCTTAAAAACTAAGACACAAACACACACAGCCTAAATGGGGTCAGGATCAGCCTTATCCCTGGAAGGAAACTGTGTGAAGGATAATCACACAATATCCGCTTTCACCTCCACGTTTCATCTCTCTGGAAGGTCTTCAGGGGCAATAGCACGCATGGAGCTGTCATCTTCTGTGATGACAATATCATAGGAACCACATGGAATGTGCTTTGATTTCTGGCTGTGAATTCTTCCCTAAAATTTTGATTCCATGTCAGAAGCAGGCCAGCCAAGCCAGGTCTCTTAAGAGTCTCTCTGAAGTTTGAGTCGGTGTTCTTCCTCTAAACTAATTCTCTCATTCATTTTCTCATTTATTCATCATTTTGGAGGTTTATTCCTTTTTTTCAGGTTCCTTGTTGATTTTGTAGAAGAATAGACTTTTCTTTTCTTTCTTTCTTTTTTTTTTTTTGCAGTTTTTGGCTGGGGCTGGGTTTGAACCCACCACCTGCTACCTCTAGCATATGGAGCCGGTGCCCTACTCCTTTGAGCCACAGGTGCGGCCCAGGGAATAGACTTTTCAGAGAAACCCATTCAGCCAACTAGACGTTCCACCCATGTGCTAAATGTAGATATCAAGTGTTTTTGGTCCTCTGCAGTTTGGAAGTAGTTTTTTCTTGACTTCTGTGATGTCAGCAGTTTTGAAGATATGAGGCTGTTTATTTTTCATGGTATGTTCTTAAAATAGGGTTTGTTTCTTCATTCAGGTTCTGCATCTTTGGCTGGAATATTGTAGAGAGTGATTCTAGCAGCTGGCGTATAATTTCCAATGTTCACATTACTTGTGATATTAACTTTGATTGCTCAATTAAGGTGGTGTCTTTTGAATGTCTCAGCTATAAATACTTTCTTTGTAATTAATAAGTATTTTTGTGAGGAGGTAGTTTGAGACCATGTAAGTACACTATTCCTTATAAAACTTTCCATATTTTAACTTAGTTTTATCAATATGGATTTATGGGTTTCTATTTTATTCAATAAATTACTATCATTATTTATTTTGATATTCAAATTACCTTAGACTTGGGCAGTGTGATCCCCTTCAAGTTGTCTCCTGTGTCCTTCTGATATATTGAGTAGTTCTTTGCTTTCTGCCATAAGAAGATAAGCCAGATTCATTTTGTATTTTCCCTATTCGAATCTAAGAATCTCTGAAAACATAGCAGGCATCCTCAAACTATGGCCCGCTGGCCACATGCAGCCCACCTAGGACACTTATCTGGCCCACCGGGTGTTTTTGCCACTGCTGCCTGTCCTCCTTAGCAGCCGACTCATCCTGGGGCCCTCAGTCTGGCCCTCTAAAGGTCTGAGGGACAGTGAACTGGCCTCCTGTTTAAAAAGTTTGAGGACCCCTGACATAGAATCTCAGAAAACATAATCTGGGCACTGGGTGTGCTCATTGCCTTTAAGTTATCGTCATTCTCAGGTGTCTTCTCAATGAAAAGAGTTAAGGGATGTATATGTGTGTTTGTGTGTGGGGGTAAATACACATATGTGTAAATTTACAATGCATACACGTGCTTATATCTACATTTCTCCATATCCATCTTACCTGTCTAGGCGTTTATATTATAAACCATAACTCACCTTATTATCTATAATTCTAGTACAATACCAGGCGCTTCAGTCTCCTGGTTCCACTTGTTCACTTACTGCCTCCCTTGAGGATGTCTTCTTGGTAGCACTTAGGCACTGACCCCGCACAGCCCTGTCCTAGTGAGAGTACTCCTGTCCCTGCTGTGGCTTAGACATGGGACTGGCCACCATCGGGGCCACTTTCTGTTCCCCACTCAGACTGCAGCATTTCATTCTTTACCACCATGGCTCCCCCTTGTACTGGCATGAACACTGACTGTAATGTTCACCTCACGTAATGTCTTTTTGACTGAATCATTTAGAAAGGGAAAGGAAGGTATAATCAAGAGATATTGAGTTCTTAACGTAACTTACCCTTGCTATATCTATGCATATTCTTGTACTTTATAAAAACTGTCCTATAAAAAAAGTTCTCTAGAACAACCTGCTCCCTTCCTTTTATCTGGTAACCCCCATCTATATTTTGGGCCCCAAATTGAAGATCATTTTAGCTGAAAGGCGTTTCCATACTCCTAACTCTAAGATAGGATCTAATAGTCTCATAGCCTATCACCTCAGGGCCTGGCACATAGAGTTTTGTTTTGTTTTTATTTTAATGGACATTTTAATCACCCTAATTCTTAACTTATATCTCAGATTTCTAATAGTTATTTGGAAGAATTGAATGTACACTTTTGTGCAATATCAAATGCAGTGGAAAATACAACATGTACTACTATAAGTTTACTATTGGGTTTTGTCATAGCAATTGGAAGAGGCTTTTGAAAATTAACTGATTCTAGTATCCATTCATTGCCAAAAAGAAAAAAAAATCTCATCAATATTAAGTTAAAAATAAAAGCTTGCTTTAATAAATATTTGCCAAAAGGCAACTGATTAGATGAAATATACCCACTATAAGTAAAATTATTTTAGCTACCTGGAGATACATTTAACAGCTAATTCACATTGGAGGATAATTTGTGAGGTTACACTGCTCAATGTTAAATATTTTACAGGCATATTACAGGTATTTCTCCTCAGCCAAACGGAGTGATTATTAATTCATAACTAGAAAATTATCAGTCCAGGAGAATGGACTATTCATTCTATAATTATAGTGGTTTTTTAAAGGTCACATTATTTGTAAAATATCTTTAAGCAAGTCACTATATATAATATAATATTCAACTAGAG